ACAGAGAAATGTGATCGAGGTTCCACATTTTAGAAACTTGGTTTTGTGGTGAGAATCCATTTGAAAGCCTGAACCCACTTCAGTGTGACCCTGTCCAGCCCCAGTGCCTGCAAATCCGGGAACCCTGGCTCTTCCTTGTACTACGCTTGACACTGTGTGCGCAGACCAAAACACGGAGTCACTCCATCGTGGGCAGGGGTTCTAGTTTGAGGGGTGAAGGAGCCTCATGGTCAGCGAAGGTCATACTTCTGAGAGCAGAAGAGAATAGCAAAGAGGCACTGAATGAAAAATGATTCACATTGCCGTATCTGCACAGCTGAGGGCAAAGATGGGACACCTTTTCTCTACCAGGGGCCTTGAAATGTTTATAACATCATTTGCTGGCTTTGTGAAGTTAATGACTTCAAAGTTAGTCTGCTGTGTTTGGTCAAATGGTTAAGTAACTCACCGTCGTGTCATGGCATCCTAGGGAGGCCTGCGATGGGAGCTGGTGTTGAGGGTTCCACAGGCCTGATGAGGTCCCAGGGCCAGATGCTCCCGCCCCTGGCTTAGAGCAGCTAGCGGCCGATGTGGCCATGTTTCCACTGAAAGAATCTGTGGTGATAGTAATATAATTTGAAATATTTTTCCCACCATGTTATTTACCTGAATTAATGCCGACATTGGCAATCAACCTTGATTGCCTCCTATTCATTAGTCTTTGAAATAATTAATAAGATGTGTTAAAGAGGAATCATCAATGTTTTCCTGTAAACAGTTCTAATTTATTGATTCAATATGAAATTGTAATTATTTTCTGTTATTTAAATGAGTGCTTGAATACGTTTTGAACCTCTGATAAAGAGCTTAAACACCAAGTCAAATAGAAGATAGAATCGTGTTCCTTTTTTTCCCCACCCCCATGGAATAGTAAGTACCCTCTTATAAGCCTTTAAACATAAGGTTTTGTTAATGAGTCAGTCACTTTGATAGTTCAACCATTTGAGCTTGTACTGATGTCTGGAAAGTGTTGTAATGCTATTTTTTCCAAAGGTATCTTTCCCAAAGGTAAAACTAGTGACCTAACATTTTACTGTGCTTTGAAAACAGGATTCAGTAGTTGGGAATGTCCAGACATGCAGAGAAACACTAATTAAGAAAGGAGAAAGTCACACTGATTCTTAGGTTAAAAGAGCAATTTGATAATCAATATGATTCGTAATGGGAAACCAATGAAGCAATTGGAGAAAAGGGAGCTTCTGATTAGTGGTCTGTGCTCAGGTTATTAAAGAACGGTGAGTGTTTTAAAACATGTCCTTGGGTGCAAAAAGGTTCATTAACAAAGCATTCTACAAATCTTCCAAGTCGAAAGAAATGGAAGCTTTTCTGTGTCTGCCTGGCTCCAAACCAAGGAGACTGCATTTTTGGTTGTTGATAAAAGATGTTGAGAATTTTCCAATTCTTGAATTTTTGGAATCTATAGTTTAAACATTGAACTCATTACTTACTTTAGAGACATGAGGAGGGAAATGTCCTTATTCTCAATAGTCTCAATATTTAATCCATATTTTGAGAACTGTGCTAGCTCTGGACATTGGTCACACATCAGTAAACAAAAGGGGGAGGTTCCTTTTCTCTTAGAACTTGTGTTCTAAAACAAATTTAAGTTAAGTTATAGTTCCATGTAAACATATTACCTAAATCTCAATGCCACTAACTACTGTGGTTATAATGGACATAAGAAACTGACACTTGGAGATATAATTCATGGACCATTATGCTCCAGACTCATAATTCTATGAAACCTGATCATGGTCTTGTAAGCAGTTATTATATGTTTATTGAAAATAAAATTTTCAGCATAAAAATAATGCAAATGTGGTAGCAATTGTACAACACTGTTTGAGGTGATGGAACTATGAAATGTTGTGATATCTGTGAGGGCTCCCAATAAAATGATTAAAAATAATAAATAATGCAAATGAGAAACTATGGGATAGCTTCTAGGGATTCCATCATTGTTGTTTTTTTTTTAATCAATTTATTGGGGCGCATACAATTCATCACAATACATAGATCAATTGTGTAAAGCACATCTATACATTTGTTGCCCTCATCATTCCCAAAATTCGCTAGCCTCTAATTTTCCTTTTTTCCCCCCTCCCCTTCCCTTCCTCCTCCCCTCTCCCCCATGCACCCCTAATAATTTATAAATTATTATTGTATCTTATATTACACTGTCCGGCATCTCCCTTCACCCACCCCTCCGCTGCCCGTCCCCCAGAGAGGAGGCCACACGTAGCTCCCTGTGATCCATTCCCCCCTACTATATCCCCTTTCCCTCCTGGTATCACCACTGTCACCCCTGGTCCTGAGAGGTTCCTCTGTCCTAGATTCCCTGTGTTCCCAATTCCCGTCTGTACCGCTGTGCATCATCTAGTCCAACCAGGTCTGCAAGGCAAAATTGGGGTCCTGGTAGTTGGGGGGAGGAAGCGTTCAAGAACCAGAGGAAAGTTGTGGGCTTCATTATTGCTATACTGGACCCTAAGTGACTCGTCTCCCCACTACCCCTCTGCAAGGTATGTCCAGTTGTCTAGAGATGGGCATTGGGTCTCCATCACACGGCCCCCTCATTGACGAGGATATGGGGATTCCATCTTTATTTAAGGAGTGTTGGGTCACTTATCGGTTCATTTCCCTCTTGTGTATCGCAAGGCAATTCTCATTTGTGATCAGAGAGCATGTGTGAAGTACACACCTAAACTTGAAAAACGTGAGGTCCCTGATCCCATACATCAGTCAGTGCAGAGCATACGGACAGTACTGATCACGAGGGAGATGGAAACGCTTTGTGGAAAGGAGGCTGATGTGTGTGTTTGTTTGACTGAGGGGAAACTCTCTGTGAATGAGGGGAAAATTCCAAGCAGTTCCTGGAATCAGTGACTCTCTCCTCTGGGAGCCCAGCTCAAATGGGCTGAGAAAAATCCATGCAGATGTCAGCACTGACTGCATCTCAGCCCCGAGCCCCGCCCAACGCCTCCCTGGGTCCTAAAGGACCGGTGAAGAGCACAAGATACCGTCTCCAGCAGAACCCTGTGTGCAGATGAGGGTTTTTTGGTTTTTTTTGCCTGCAGCTGGGTACCCACAGCACCATCAGGATTAGGAAAACCAGGGTAATGGAGTCAGGAGAGGAGAGTTGCCAAGCAAAGAAGTGGCAGGCCTGTCCTCACAGTTGAGACAAAAGAAGAAAATAACAAAACAACACCTACTCTTGAGCAAGCTGGCACCTTGCAGAGCCTATTATCCGAAGCCCTTACTCAGTTGCTGTAACCAAGAATGTATTTCAACAGCCGGTTCCATGAGGAAAGCCCCCAGGACACCTGCACTGTGATAAATCGCTTGGCCTTTCGAGTTTTGTGGCTGTGGCAGGTCTTTGTTTGTCTTTTTGTTGTTTGTTTATGTAGTGTCAAATACAGTCCATAGAAATGTAATTTAAAAAAGAGAACATTCAGATTATGTCACACTCTGGCGCCAGCATTGTCTGAGCCCCATGAGTTCCCCTTTGCTTTTTGCAGCAATTCGATTTCAACCAATTAATGTTTTCTAACCAATCAGATTGGGAGAATCAAACGTCGAGAACATGTAGTAGACGTGCCTTTTAGGTGAACCGTCACTCTCATCTATTGCTGTGGAAGTTTAAATTGGTATAGCTTTCATGTAAAACAGCTTGCCTATAATCAGATTTAGAGAGGCGCATTCTTTTTGGCCTTGAAATTCCACCCTTTGGGGATTTGTTTTAAAGACAGATTTGGACACGGACAAAATGGCATGAAGCATTGTTTATGGACGCTAACATACAGGAACCAGCTAGATGTCCATCAATAGAGAGTGAATTAAGAATTTTCTACCCATACAAAGCAACACGGCCTGCCCTCCCCATATCAAAAGGCTGCTATAAGTGAATTAATAAGTAGGTCACTGAAATATATTCCTGAGTGACAAATATAGTGTACTGTGCATTACATACTAACAAATGTATTTCAAAAATATGTATTCTTCATAAATATATACATGCATAGTGGGTAATGGAAACCTCTAAAGAAGGGAGCTGGGTGGTTGGAAGAGTGTGTGGCTGGGGCATTTACTTTTCCACAAATACTTGTACCCTTGCCATTTTTAATGTGTACTTGTTTTACCACTTTCATTAAACCAACCAACTGACCAAATAAAGTTTGTTGTCAGGCCTAGCAGACGTAGAAAATGAGACACCTTGAGAGAACCAATATAAACATCTGGATTGTTGACAGAATTGACTTTGACTAAACAATTCTATCCATAGCACAGTCTCACATTTAATTGAAACAGATACACATTTAACGTGTGCCTGAAAGAACTGTTTGGTTTGGATAGGTAACCCTATGGTAGTAAAATACTAAGGACTTTCGTTTTGATGCTATAACATGCGACCAGGCCCATTCCGATTTTAGAAACCTCTAGGGGCAAAAAAAAAAAGAGGAACAGATGACAAGGGGAATGGATGATGGTAAGGTAAAAAGAGGAGAGAGAAGACTGAGTGTCAAATGTTTTTCCTTGGGATTGAATTCCCTCAACCAAAGTCAGGAAGGCAAAGACAGTTCAGCATAGGAAACAAAGAAGGAATTATTGGGGAAACAATGGAGGACTTCTTCCGATCACCCGATTAGAATCAATCTGAGAAAAAATGGATATATGCTGACTGTTTTTAAAGCTCTGGTTTCATTCTGGAAGTGTGAACACAGAGTGAATCATGGGAAACTTCATATAAATCTTGGACTCTGCATGTGCGAATATTTAAAGTGTGAATATTTATAATGGTGATATAAGATGCCTTCCTGAAATTTATCTTGTTGTGATGGCATAATTAAGTCCTCGACATTTTCAGTACAAAAGTAAGTAAAATAGAACTTTTAAAGAAGATCAGTGAAACTGTAATGAGAATGTATTTTCACAAATGCGGTTGTTTTTCCTTTCCTTTCTCTCAGGGTCAATGGGAAGTTGGTGGCCCTGAAGGTGATCAGGCTGCAGGAGGAAGAAGGCACCCCGTTCACAGCTATCAGGGAAGGTAGGCACTTATCCTTATAATCGTTGTCTTTGTGGTTGTATAGTGCCTCTTGTTATTTAAATCTTATACATCGCTGGATATGCTGAGTCTAAAAGTACTTGCGTTTATCTCATTGGAATGTGTGCACTGAAACTTAAAAAAAATAGTATCTCTTATGATCATATGGTATCATGTTAAGTCAAAGAAGACCACTGCTCTGTGTACTTGTGTGTAGGAGATGAGGACAATTCTGTAGATAACCTAGACATTTTCACACCTGATTTTCTTTGTGTAGCTCCTAAGAAACATTATAAACTAAAATTGTCATGCATTCTTAACCTTTAAGGAAAATTCTTAAAAATGGGGAAATAGTTTATCATATTAGTCATTTGTATTTCTTCCACTTATCTGTTCCTATGAGTTGAAATCCAAAGGAGGCCTGGCGTCTCTGAGATTAAAGTCCTTGATTGTTCACCACACGGTGAGTGTGGTTGGAGACCACTGCCGGAGACAGATGTGGCAGTCAGGTACTGAAAAAATATGCTGACCTAGAAACCCTATGGAGGCATTTCTATTTTGTCTTATAGGATTGCTGTAAGTCAGAATTTAATTAGTGGGTTTGGTTTGGTTTTGGGATCCTTTATGTACTTTTGGCTTTTATTATCGATTTAAAGACATTTTATATTTTAGTGCCATCTATGTTGTAATATTTTCTTCCTCTCTTTTACTTGTCCAAGAATTTCTTTTATAATGTAGGTATCTGTAATATATGGTTTTAATTTTTGAGGAATAAAATGGATCTTTCTTTGGCTCTGTTACTTCATGCATGGAAAACTTCTCTCCGCCAAGAGAAGAAAAGCTTTTCTTTTATCAGCGAGACCTAAGCGGTAACATTCAGAAATGTTAGGATGCTAACTTTTTCTCTGTTACATTTTTAAAAGTACAAATTACCTTGATTTAAATATCAGTTCATTATTCTTACATGGAAGGGTTTACTACAAGACAGATTTCTGTGGTTTACTACAATAGTATTATCAAAGGCAAGGTATTACCGAACTTACCACTAGTCTTATATATTTTTCAAAATTCTCATTGTGACTTACACCTTTATACTCAATTGTGATTTACACAATTATAATCAGTCTAATTGGTTGTAGGAGCAACGTCCTGGCTGTTTCCACTTCTTCGTCTCGCGCTCTCTTGTCAGTTTAAGCCAGCGTGGATGCCGTTTTCCCTGTGGAGCTAAACCTTCTTAGCCAGTTCACTAGTTGATCGCGGTATTGCTAGATCAGACAGACACCTCCTGGCCTTATTCACTCCAGGTTTAGTAGATTGTGCATGGTCGAAACATTCTCTTCAGTGACACTAGCTTTTTATAAAGTTTTTCACATTCTTCTAGACTGATTTTAGTTTTAAGTAGGGCATCGAAGTAGTTCTAAACCTGTTCAAGTGATGGTTGATGCAGTCAAATTAGAACCAATACAAATTGGTGAACTAGGGTGAATGGAATGATAACCAGAGAAATACAGGTCCAAGTCCTGGGATTGGAGACTTGAGGGAGTTGTAGTGACCTTTCACCCCAATGAGGGAGATCGGGTTGTTGTCCGTGTAGTCGGCCGGCTTTGTTGCTCGGGTCAGCATTGTTTCTGCTTACTAGTCTAGACTTGACTATTGTACAATATGTATGCTGCCCTTGTTTCCTAGGAGGGAGATTAAGGTTCATGCGGGATGTTGACTCATTATTTTCCCTGTTCCTTTTATGGTTCCAGTATGCCACATTTTACAAATTCGAGTTTGTTCCAGATTTACATCACTGTCTGTGACTGAACTAGGCAGGTCTTATTAGAACCCTTGTTTTAGGACAAACAACAGCTTTTTTTTCTCTTATCAGCATTTTTCCATGTGATTTTATCACAGCAGCGATAAATGAATGACCCACTGTAAGAATCGCTTGTCAGCATCATCTGACCTCTTCTGACTTCTCAAGGGAGACGGAGAGTAAAACCCAACATCTGCATCAGTCCAAGGTCGATTCCTGTGAGGCAGAGGTCAGACATGCCTGCACCTTCCAACCTTTATACACCTTCAAATCTTTACACATCCTATACAAATTGTTTTTCACATGCTGCTCTTTGCTTACTAGCTGAATTCTGTAATTTGTTGTAATGTCGACCTGTAACACACAGAAAATACCTATTATTAGAGGTTTATTAGTGCAATTAAGGTTGAGATATGCTCAGTATAGGGTTCTTTGGTCAGCTGCCTCTTCTCAGCCATGTCCGCAGGCAAGCGTCTCTCTGGTCCTTGACTTCTGAGCCATTTGGCCTCTTAGCCTCTACCCTGCTTGGGCTGTATTACAGAGCTCTTGTAGTGCTGCCAATAGATTCCCAAAGGTACTTATTTCTACCAGTAGCCTCAGTGTAAAGCCTTTTGCCTCTAGTTCCATCGTCAGTGTGGTAGTTACATAATCTGCTGTCAATTTGAGGCTTAAGAGTGAAGGGGTGGATTTAGCCTGTCAGTCAGACCACAGCTGGATGGACTGATTTGGAGGCGCTAAGAAGATAAATAGCCCCCTTTGTGGCAAGACATGCTCATTAACTGGGAGACATTACTGATGACAAGCCTGATAGAGGAGCCACATGGAACCCATGCCAGCACTAAGATATTTACACTGTCACTTGATCCACAAGTCTTCCCACCCACTGGCCAGTGATCTTCCTGCACTAGGCATCATTGCATGTGTTGCGTGAGTCTGAAGAGGACTTTGTAGATTGGTATCAGACATATGGGCTCATATCAGATTTATGGACATAATCTAGACTGGGATATGTTTTCAATATTCAATTGCTCTTGTACATAAAGCTCTTTCTTGTACACATATGAGTGTCTTTGCATTTGTTTCTCTGGTCTACCCAGACTAACACAGTCACCAAATCTAGCTCCCCAGACAAATACTCAGGAGGTGCTCCACAGCAAGCCTTCTACACAAAGGCACTCGGATTTCTCCCTCCACAGGCCCAGCATCCTGCTACGCTACCTCATATTCTTGGTGCTGCTGGTACCCCTCTACACTTCTGTGTTGCTCTTCAATAACACATGTCCCTTTCTCCTGGACCAGCGCACAGAAATCAGGAGATGCAGTGCGCAGGGGTCTTAGGTTCCAGGGAACGTACTCTACTACCAGTTCATCTTTCTCGAAAGTAGAGAAATCCTCTTGGCCAGTTCTGAGATGACCTGTTTTAATTTAAGTCTCACAGGATGAAGAACTGGCCAATCCCGGCCTTCAACTTCTACACACTTTGACTGGTTGCCACATGGGTGGCATAGACTGTATATACTCGACTATAAACCAAGTTTTCCAACACATTTTTAATGCAGTTTTTATGGTAAAATTGGGTGCCTTGGCTGATATTCGGGTTGGCTTATGCTTGAGTATATATGGCACCTTATTTTCATTAGCAGAAGGTTGTCCAATCTCCTTGATGGGCCACAGCACCTCACGTTTGTACAGTCACGCCCCGTCATTAGGCAGGAGCAACACAGACACGTGCGCCATATCAGCTCATCCACTGCACCACCCCATGTTGTCTCTGTCTCCATTCTTGCATGCCATTTGCCTTCTTGGCGTCTCCTCTTAAATCCAGCAAGATCTAAAAAGGCTAATGCATCACGGCCAAATGGGGTTGTTTTGAGAATTGACATATGCTAGTTCAACATTTGGAAATCAATCAATGTATGCCATTCATCTCAATTATAAGACATCTAAAATGGACTTATGTTTGCCCACTATATTTCTTTTCTCCTCATTTAAGTAATAGCAGCTCCTGTTCCCCTCCTTCTCCAGCACACCCTATTGGTTACTCTGTAAAATGATCTTGCACCTGTCTCTTTGCTGCAGTCCCCCGCCTAGGGCATTGTCAGGTCTTGCTTGGGCATTTGCAATAGTATCTTTTTCACTCCACAATGTTCCTCTTACTTTTCCTTACTACTGCCTCTTCATGCTTTAACCAGTATGATCTTTTTAGAAAGCTGAACTATTACTTTTTCCCCCCTTCTTGTAAAACCGTCATTAAAGTCCAGTGTGACTTACTTTTCCTCAAACATATAATAGAAATTCCTGTCTGTGGCTGGAATGATTTCCTTGGCCTCTCCTCAGCTAGCAAAGTCAATTCACATATCATCTCATTAGACCAGCATCTTACTTTCCTTTATTTGCTACACTGTCAGTCTCTATAATTCCTTGATAGTTCTTATTGGGATCCAACATTAAATATTTTATCTCCTCCCTACTAGTGTATCATCCTAGTGAGTTCCAGGACCTTGCCTGGTAGTTCATTGCTGTTTCGTTTGCACCTAATGTGGAAATCACATGCTGTTTGTGGAATGTCTTTAATGGAAGTCATCTTGCTAGATTGTATGGATAAGACCCAGTAGCAAATTTAAATTTTGCTCTCCAGAACTTTGCCTTCTAAGGAGGTGATAAAAACAACAACAAAACCACACTCCCTGCCATGCGTCCATGTTGGCTCACTTTGACCTGATCAGACAGAAGAGAACAGCTCCTGTGGGTTCGCGAGACTGGAACTCTCAGCTGGAGTAGAAAGCCCACCCTTTCTCCCCAGAGCAGCGGGTGGTTTCAAACGGCAGACCTTGTAGTTGGCAGTCCCACACATAACCACTGTACCACCAGGATTCCTTAAACTCAGCTTGCCCACCATCCGGTCTCAGCTCATCGTTTGGGTTTCTGAGTCTGCAACTCTTTATAGGACTAGAAAGCTTTGTCTTTGTATGAAGGATCAGCTGGCTGTTTAGGACTGCTGACTTTGTGGTTAGCAGCCCAGTGCACAAACACTACACCACCACATGGGGTATAGAGCACAATAAGTGGAGGGAGAAGATGAGGTGTCATATCAAGACCGTAAAACATAATGAAAAATAAGTATATGGTACAGAAGGAAGTGCTACAAAGACATTTATCTTTTAGTAAAGAGGGATGTAGGGTGTCAACTAGACCTTGTAAT